TGAATTGTTTGTTTGTTTTCTTTTCCTTTTCTTGAGTTGGGAGCCTGTTCTGGCCAGTTCTGGCCAGGCGGTGCTGCGTGGCTTAGAACCTACTTCCTCGGCTTGCACAGACGTGCAGAGGGATCCCTGAGAGCATTTCTTTTTTCGTTGTTTTTTTTTTTTTTTCTGTTTTTTGGGGGGCTTTTCTTGTTCTTTTTTTTTTTTAATATGTTTGTTTTCTTTTCCCTCTTTTTCCCCTTTTGTCTTTCTTCATTGCTCAGTTTCTCATCTCTCTCTATATTCCTTCTCTTTCTGTTCTCTAAATACCTGGCGTTGTATACCTCTACACCTTCTAGCCAGGCTGTACTGCAATACCTGAGAACAACTTCCCCAGACGTCATAGCTGCACTGGTGGGATCCCTGGGAACTTTGCTGTTCTTTTCCCTTTCTGATTTTTATTTATTCATTCTTTTCTTTTATTTTTTTTCTTCCTCTTCCCCTTTTTGTTTTTCTCCATTTCATAGTCTCTCATCTCTCCATTCCAACGGCAAACTCCCCTAGCATTCTTTTTTGTCTGTGTGTATGCTTTCGGCTCCTGTTCCTCTCTCCTCTCTCCCATACCCATCTTAGCTCCACACATAACAATCTCCCCGCTACATCCTGCCTACCTGCACCGTGTGTTTAACATCACACCACCAAGCAGCACTGGCATGGCCTACTGGAACCTACCCTGCACTGATTACCGACCTGCCCTGGTGGCTGTATTAAGTGCCACAAAAAACCCATCCCAATAACTCCTCTTCAGCTAGGCCTGCCCTGCCGTACCATATCTGAGTGGCTGACAATGCCAATTGCAGAAGGAGGCAAAAAGTACTGGGCCCACAGATGAGCAAAGAACAAAGAACACACAGCCCGCCTGCTCAGACATAGCCAAAGTTAAAAAAAAAGGGACAAAACAAACAAATCTACAATCAATAAATGAGAAAAATAACTACTGAATGCCCGAAGGAAGCAGACAATACCAAAACATTTACAAAAACAGGACAAGATGGTTCCAGTAGGCGTCCAAAATAAAACATCAGATGACTTTCCAGAGGAAGAAAAGGCACTAGAACTACCTGATAGGGAATTCAAATCTTTAACACTCAGAATTCTCCAAGAGCTGAAGCAAAAAGCTGACAAACATGAGGAAAAAATAGACAAATTCATGGAAAATACAGACAAAAAATTG